TGCACCTCTGCCCCAAAGATACCTCAGAAATGGTGAATTTCAGAAATCCCAAACTTACTTTGTAGCATCAGATAACTGTCATATAAAATTCTCAACTGCCCGTTCCATCCAAGTTTTCAGGGGAAAAATGGTATCATTTATTTCACTCTGATGTAAAATATCTACAGTTCTGTCTTTATAACAGCTGGCGGTAGATGAAAGATATCAAGTTGCTTGTCTACAAGCTAGTATTAATCCCCTACTTACCTTGTGAAGATTGAACTTTCTTCCAAAGTGCTTTTGTTAGATAAAAAAAAAAACATTTGTTTTTGCTTCACTGAATCAATGCAAAGAAACTGTGAAATGAAATAAGCAATTTGTGAGGGAAACAAATATTTCAGTCACAATAATGTATTTATTCTGAATCTAAAATGAAGATATGACAGCAGGAAAACTGTAATTCTCCTAGTATTACAAAGCCAATGGAATCTTACAAATGAAAGAATTACTCCAACTGTCTGATCTGACTGAAAACCCAAAAAGTAAAGTCAATTCTCTAAATAATTAAAATAAAAAAGAGAAAGAAATTAAATTGCTGGGCAATCAAATTGTAAGAAAACATAATTAAAAACAATGTTAGAATAATTTTGTCTTTAAAATAATGATAAGATAAAGGCAACTATAAAAAAGGTAAAGTATTCTTCTTGCAAAAGATAGTTCCTGGAAACTTACTCTAAACTATCTGTTTTGGCCAGGAGAATTTTTTATCCACTGTGTAAGATGTCTACACTGCCATAATTTCTATGGGTTTTTTTCCGAGTAAAAATAACAATCTGAAAATATTTGAAATACTCTGATTAAATCTATAATTCTATAGTATCTTGTTTGAAGGGATGCTGAACTGAAAAGAATAATCCTACCTAGAATTTTATTTTACCTATTATGTTAACTCTTTTGTACCCACCACAGACTTTAAATAGTAGTGAACAGTAAGAAAATAGCATGTTTGGGGATTGAAGAGAAAGTAACAAGTGAACGCAACAGCATATGTGCAATTCGTAGCTAGTCAATAGATGTGATCACAGCTTTCTACCTGCCTCACCATACTTGATTTCTGTACATTGGAAACTGCCCTGAGAGAAGAGGAGCTCTAGCCATAGTTAATTGACAGTCTGAGTTGTTTCATTTGTTAGACCAATTATAAGGACGCTATACTGTCTCACAAGTTCATACCATCAGGGAAAAATAGAAACCAGGAAACAATTTCTATACTTTAAAAAAAGATGCTAAAAAAACCAAACAACCCTCTTAAAATAGTAGGAACTAAAACTAGCAGAAAACCATCTGTTTCTTACATTTGGAGCAAATAGCATGTTAAGAGCTGGACTGCTACAGTTCTGAAGATCACAGGTACCCGTTTAGAACTTGTACAAATCGGAGGAACCCTTGTTATGTTTAGGTTACTGGCCTTTGAGCTGGCTTTTCTGAGCCGGCTGTCCTTGTGTAAAGACCAAAAATGTCAAGTGGGTGTGACCTCACCTAACACTTAGAGGTAAGTCTGTTTCCTAGGGAAAAGATGAAATTGTTGGACTTTTAGAAAATAATTTTCCAAACAACTTAAAAAATGTCAATTTTAAAAATGAAATCTGAAAATGTTGACTCCCCCCACTTATTCATCTTTCTTTCCTCCCCTTTTTAGTTACACCATAGAATACAACCCTTTTATCTGCACAGCTCTTACTAATTTGAATACCACAGCTGCTTAGAAACCCCAAAGTGGAGGTATCATGGACCAGTCTGCAAACCTGCACAGTCCTGGGATATTCTGGGCCCAGCCTAGAGACCAGTGAAGAGGGTCCTGTCTGTTCCCTGTGACATATGCACTGTGTGCAGCAGTAGGCAACCTCTGTAGACATTGTCTGTTCCTAACTGCCCAGAGAGATCATCTACCAATTTCCAACATCTGTAGTCTTCTAAAGTAAGGGGCTGCCTCCAATTGTGCCTCTCAATACCATTTCCCTCAACAATAGCTACAAAAATAACTCTAAATTCCACTAACACCCATCTTTTTATTATAAAGGTATTAAAACATAAATCAACGTCTCACAAGGACAAGAATCTTTACCACTCACTTTCCTATTCCCCATTTTCTGCAGCTCACTTATAAGTCTCTGGGTTTTTCAGGAAGTTTCACTTCCTTTTCAGCCTGATGAAGTATCCAATCCAGTTTCTGATTTGTTTATGGCAGGAAATTTTTCTTCCAAATCTAGATATATTTGTGTTCTTATACTGGGATCCAATTAACTCACACTTTTGGCAGCTGTGCTTCTACACGTAGCACAAAGATCATTAGTTATCAATTCCTGAGACTGATTTTTAGGGCTGTTTGAAGCTTCGGGTGGTAATTCGATTCGGAGGAGATTTGGCCCTATTCGGTGGTCAAATCTCCGAATCCAAATCAAATCAGGGGACCATCGTAAACGTCTGAATCAATTCAAAGCTCTCCGAATCTTCGGAAAAGACTTGGAGAGCTTTAATGACTCGGACAGTCCCCAGTGGCTGCAGCAGGGAGCTGCAGCCAGACTCCAAGCT